AATAAGCGTATTTGAGATACGTTCATAACAAACGTAACATGGGAGAAAATACGTTTCTTGCTAAACGCAATTGAGAATGCAGTTTAGTTCTGTGGGAACGTAATTTTTAGGAGACAGGGTTGAGCCTAATCCTAAATTAACGTTGCATTGTTAAATGTTGACATGGTTCATTTATTTTGTGGCGCTTCTGTTACCTCACTTGACTGTCTGAAGGAAATAAAGTTAGCTTTCAGGTCAGGCGAAGGACTGCTATAATTCTAAACAGTTTTATCTTTTGGATAACCACACACACTTTATAGTCTTTCCTCTGAGGAATTAATGGCCTTGCATTTCATTGTAAAGGGTGACAGAAGAGTGAAAGGGGAACTTACGAGTGTACTTGCACACCTCCCAACCTTTCAAATTGCCGCGTGAAGTGGACTTTAGACGCTTTTGGACAATCTGGAAAGGACAATGTTTTTAGATTATTGACCATAAGCAAATGTAGCTGTTAGTCATTTATTTCACCATCATTTAACCACCAGTTGTGGATTTATTATACCAAAATGCTCTAACATACAATATTCTGTATGAATAACTGTGTAGTTATATTATATTTAGTCACAGAAAATGTCTATCTAAACTCTGTTATGTCAAAAGATGCTGACACAGAACACTGCCTTTTCCTGGGTATTTGTGTTCAGCAAAGTTCTCTTTCTGGCAAAGATAGATTATAGTTTCAGATGGAGGGAGATTTAATCGTTTGGCCTCTCAGTTTGAAAATGGGACTGTAGAGAACGTTAAGACTTTTAAAGATGCCCTATGGTGCTTTTTGGGGTTTTCCCTTTCCTGTAGTGTTTTATAGGTTTTTCTCTGTAAATGGTCTACACAGGCTGAAATCCCAATTCCCTTCAGAGGGAGTTTCTCTCCCACACACTCCTCCCCCTGCCTGACATTTAGTTTAGTTTTAAGTGACATCACTATGTAACACCTGTGCTTCTGTTGGCTAACGCTCACCAATCACAACAGAGCCAGCCAGCTAACCAATCAGAGCAGACTGAGCTCTGGTTTCAGACAGAGGGTGAAAAGAGGTGCTGCAGCACAGGCAGTAGGAGCAAAATAAAGAGCTTTTTGAACGTTAAAGCATGGAGACATGTCCCAGAGACAATACATACTGATATACACCTGAACATGCGCACAATATGTCATCTTTAATGAAAGAGCCCCAAGAGTTCATCATCAGTACTGAACAATCTTCATTGCTTTCTTTTGTTGCAACTCACATTCGGAAAAGTTTTCTCACTCATAGAGTAAATATCCATTTAATATACTCCATCTATCTAACTCATACCCGAATATTCCAACTCAACAACAAATCTCAACAAAATGTTGCACAAAACCTAAAAAGCTTAGGGACATGGAGTAACTTGGAAAGTGATAATGTTTAGCCATTGGTTTTTCTCTGTAATTCAATGTACCATATCTTAAATGTTATTGAACAAAGTATGCAATGCTGAATATGAACGGCTTCTTAAAAGAAGTTGGACCTGTAACTTTTTCCTCAGTACAAGAGGTGATTGCATCACTTTTAACTTCAAACAAATTGCTTGATAGATTATTGAAGAGTGTCTGGAAACTCTCCTCTACACCTCTCCAATGTTGGAATAGGCAGGGTTTTAAATTCACTCTCAAGCTGTCTTTTTTCATTATTCATGCAATACTTCTCTATGCATACAACCAATGCACATCTATGAATGCCTTTTGATGAAACACTGTCCAAAACTGAGCCCCTTTTATTTCCATTTCCCTTAATAACTGCTAACTTCAGTTCTGAAGCCATACGAATGGACAGCTAGGTTTTATGAAACCCTGGCCTGAAATCAAAAGGAGCAGTCACTGTCCTGAAAGTGTTCTACCACATTGTGTGTCCCTTACAAAGGTATTGGCTTCACTTTTTTACTGAGAAGCATGTTTTATCTTTAAAAACATGGCAGGCATATTCAAATATAGTCAATACCCAAGAGCTTCGTATGGTGGCTACTGTAACTATTTAGTTAGTTTGTTTCAAAAAGTGTTTTATCAGTGCATTTGAAATGACTAGGTTAGCTACGTTAGCTAGTTAGCTTGTAGCAAATCTGCAATAATAACTAGAGGAGTCATGCAATTACATTAAAATAAGCCAATACAACGTACAATTTAGGTATCATTTTCCAGTGACAGTTGGCCAACTTTATTATCCCTAAATGTCTTCCCCCTTTCCGTTTTGAGCTTCTTGCAGCATTTTGTATGCAGTGCTTTCAGTTAACGCTGGTGTTGTAAGGTTGGTGAAAACGTTTCTTCAGTTGCATCTGTTGTGAAACATTTGTGTTTTTTACACAATTTATTTACATACTTTTTTTTAAACTGCAGCGCATTTCTCCGAATGGAAATGTTTTTGACCGTCAATGTAAATGTGGGTCACGTAACATTGTCAAGGGAAAAAATAATACGATTCCTACATCTGGAATCAGGAATTCAAGGATGGATAATAAAATCAAAGCACCGAGTGGAACGTAGCGCTTCATAAACAAAGAAAACTGTGAAGACATATATTAAAGATACACTTGTTTAATTTGCTAATTTTCCTTGAAGTAGATTTTATTAAATGAGATGATGTCGTGCTTCGCTATTCTCAAACTGTAAAAACAAAAGATGCAGCTGTCGCCTGCGAGACTTATTTGCATATCTTTAATACATCTATTGTTCTTTTCTGATTTCAAGTGATGAGCCGCGGCTCCGTCAAGTTGAAATGCTAAATTTGAAAATATAATTAATTGTGATATTTTGTAGTGATTGTAAGCTAAGTGGGGGGGGGGTACATATTTATGCCTTAATTTGTCAGT